ACTCAGATATACTCGTGTCCTGCATGAGTGCAATCCGTTTTAACCACTCATTTTTACGGAAAAGTTCCTGTTTGCGACCTAAAAACGGAGTCATACTCACTGAGCAAAATGCACGTTTTCACCACTCAAATTAACCGTTCGCGCGGGCTAAAAACGGGCTAAAAACGGTGAAAACTTCCTTAAAGAGAATTTTTACAATCAACTTACATGAAAATGTTATGTAGAACATATTGGAAGTATTGACAGTTTACGCGCTATAGATCTAATGAGAAAAGTTATCACGCAAATATTATTATTAATACTTTTATATTAATATCTGTATAGAATAAATTATTTACACATCTTGTGTGATATCAGTCTCTTAGAGGCAACTACTATTTTACTGTCTTAAACTGTACTTTAGATATTTTTGTATATACGTATTAAATTTGGACGAACGGTTCAACAACAATGTTTGCTGTTCTAAGCATTACGGATTTTAAAATTCGTAATAAGATTCTCTGGAGTTAACATGGGTCTGTTAGACTCACTGAATTATAAATCTTTTTGTAAAAAATGTCAAGCAATTCAATTTTCTTTATGTTACATCTGCAAATTTGGATTATTCTTATATTAAAATGAACTTAATATTTATTCTTTTTTATACAAGTTATATCATATGATGCCTTGAAATTAATTAATTTATATTAAATGACAGAGTTTCACGGATCCAGTGTCAATAATTGTTTTACAGATTTTGGCATTAACTCAGAAACTTAAGCTTCAATTAAACCTACATTCTAGATCTCAACTCAAATCAACCTATTAAATCAAAGATCTGTTTTTTGTCGCTAAACTAGTGTATACTTTTGGAACTTAAAGTGAGATAGATATACGTTTGATATTTATCGAAAGCGAGAAAGAGTTCTAAAGCAGTCTAGTGCAGGAAAACAGACCACAAGTCAGGTTATGTTAGGTTAGGTAGTACATGTTCTGATATTTCGCATAAATTTTTTTATGTTTACGAGTCTAACAATTTTCATGATCTCTAACTTGTACGATTTGACACTTTCGATGGATTCTTTTCGGTAATTTTGCTCTGATAGATTTGTATTAGAAGAAATCAGCGCTTGACAAAAGCACAAGGCAGTGAGCAATACGCACTTTCGTCGACACATTGATGCCTTTCAGAACGGACTCGAATTTCGAAATATTGTCATACATCGGCACGGAAGATGCCAGTCGCACTTTGGGTGAATATAATGCCTTTAACGGATCGAATTTCTCGCTTCTCACGTCCAAACTGTCGTCCGATGTATCACTGCCTTCATCTGCCATTGATAAGTCTGTTCCTTTCACATGGACCTCTTGCACCGAGCATACACTAATTCATACTATTATTTAGCCTGTTTTTCTTTGGCTGAACTGTCGAATTTATGCACTTAAAATAAAATAATCGTACAATTGTGCTTTAGAAAGAAAAAGAACGAACAATCGATGTAAATTCAATGCAGGTACAAAGAACAAGCCCCCACTATTATTGATTATAAATACGACCACGTGTACGCCTACGGTAGCGGCGATAGCAGTACGCCTGACAAAGTGTAGCCGTAGTCACACTTTCAGCACCTCGGAGAGCAGTAGAGAGCGCAAGGCAACCGAAAAGAGCGGAAAAAGTTCAAAACAAAGCTAATTTTAAAGGATCTGTAATTCACATCTGACTTTTGAATAGTATTCTATTTATAATTTTATAATTTATAACACTGTGTTTTCTCTGCGTTTTATTATTTTACATATGATTTTTATTTTTCGGTGTGAAATTACAAAGTTATTAAATTTTGTATAAACATAAAAGGTAAGGTCTTTTTTACAAAATAAATAATGATAAAAAATAAAAATAAAAAGAAGCATGTGAGCTACCACAAGGTCTTTGAGTAAAATCCGTTCAACAATTTATGTATATATTAAAATAAATCAAACAAATTGTTGAATAAAGTTTTTGCATAAAAACCTTGTGATGGCTTACTATGCTTTTTTTTATTTATTATTAAATTATTATAATACGGAGATAGAGAGCTTAAGCCCTCTAGAGATGTTCATTGAACCCACTCAATATATAAATCTCTTTATCGAAAATGTCAAACAATTCAATTTTTTTAAATGTTACATTTGCAAATTTTTGAATTATTTTTATTAAAACATACTAAGTATTCATTTTTTAAAAATATAAATTATGCTATTTTGATTCCTTGTAATTAATTAGTGCCTTTTAAATAACATAAATTAAATCGGCTTTACAAAGCCAGCGTCAGTAACTCTGTTTGGCATCAATTCGGGAAAGTTAATAAGTAAAAATTCGTGAAAATTTTGCACGAGACGGACATTTACGCGGCGTCCTCAATTGGAAACGTTCATTACGGTTCGGTAATCAGTCGCGACGATATTAGTTGTTAGACGGGAGAGGAGGATGTTCACCTCTACTCGTGGAAACTTTCTTTCGCGGCTACGAGTTACGTAAAAACACCGTCGCGCCACGTCGGGTAAAAGCTGCATAGAAACGCAGCGGCGACGCGACGGCGGGAGAGCGCGAGGTTACGCGCACAGGAAGTGAAATAGCGCTATGCGAAGCCAGAAAGAAAGTTCTCGCTCGGTGTTTTCACTTTCATGGAAATTGCCCGCGCCCCTCTTTCTCTCCACGATAGCATTACGCGAATTAGTCACGAATCATCAGCGTTGCTCATTGCGCGCGGACAAGCAGCCTTGCAAGCCATCGATTAACTTCCTCTTTAGAGAGAGAAAGAGAGAGGAGGGAGCAGAGGGGGGAACTTTTTAATTCCTTTGTTTCTGGTAAACATTTTCTAAACTCCTAATTCATATATTTTTTAAATGCGAAAACTTTATACGCTAACAATAAGTTTACAGATGTATTTCTCTATTGAATTTTTGATTTTGCGAAATCGCGGTAGCTCCTCTCCCCTACAGCACGAAATATTGCAGTAATATTGCAGCAATATTATTTTGAAAGATTGTAATATTTTATAAAACATTGCTGCAATATTATAGCAATATTCTTATATCCGCAAAAATAAAATATTGCTATAACCTTATGCAATATTCAATATTTACTCTAGTTCTATTAATTGCTAACATATTATTGTTTAGTATCATACTCCAAAATACATACAATAAAGTTATGATCAAAAAATATTCGGAAACCTAGAAAGCACATCCAAGGCTATGTTCCGATTCTCACTCGAGTGCCACCCAGGTATCACTCCATCCTTGTTATTTACTGATACAAGGATGATGTGACATCCAGAGAACATCCGAGTGAGAATCCGAACACATCTCAAAAAAGGTTAAGAATATCCACGGAGATTTGCTAACTCGATTTGCGTACCTCTTCTTATAGGACGTTTTCTTCTTATGAGAAGCGCATCTCTCTAGTGGCGGGACCGCGTACTTACTTACTGAATTATAATATTACAATAATATTGTATAATGCAATATTTTCTACAAAATATTAAAATTACAATATTTTGCAATATTGTTGCAATATTTCCAATAAAATATTATAATTTCAATATTACAGAAATATTGCTGCAATTTTTATAATATGCGCACTATTGAAATATTACTACAATATTTCATGCTCTAGGGGCTTTCATTTGTATTTAAATACTCTCTCAAACAAAGAATGAAATGCACAGAAATGTGTATAATCATCCTTTTCAAGCCTATGGCAGTGATGCGTGTGCAAAATACACAAATTGTTCCCTTTAGAGTAGTATATTTTTAGAAATCAACTTAATAATCGATATTCTTGTTTATAATTTTGAATAGTGCACAAAAATTATTCATTATAGCTTAAGTTGAAGTAGCAGCTATAATTGTTCAAAATAATCTCGCGAACGCGCGGATAGAATCATTTGTGGATTATAAGCGCAATCATCATGGATTGTACATCAAATTTGCGTTTCATAAGGGCCGAATTATGGTTTTTACCGTCCCTAGGTAGTGAAATACTTGCCGCTCCCATTCAACTCTCCAACAACCATGTGGTCGGAAGGAACAAAAAAAAGGGCTTCTGCATTTACTTTCGTGCTCCAAGTGTATCGATAAAGAAATCAGAGAGAGAGGGGGAGGGAGAGCTATTTTATATTTTTCTGTGTATACTTAATATTACATCGTATTTAAACTCATGCGGGTTACACTATACACGAACGGCAAGAGAAAGTTAACAATATTATCAATCTACATTTTAACCGCGTTCAAATTAGAATTCAAACGAAAGTGCGATGCACCGGAAATTGTTGCGAGATAAAGAGATCTCGTTTCGCGCTTAATAAATTAAGATAAGCAACGGTTTCGATGCTTATCTTAATTTATTAACAGAAAAATTAGAAGCTTTTATACGAACTGTTGACATTGCATGTTCGTGATATATGTATATTTCGCTTCGATTTATCATAAATGAAGAAATAAACTGATCTATTTTTTAAACATAAACAAGAGTACACTTTTTGCACTTAAAGTGAAATAGATACATGTTTGAGATTTGGTAAAAAAGAAAGTCTCGTATAACAAACGTGGGATCACTAATATTGTTTATCGTGTCAATAAATATGAAGATTAACAATAACTTTTAATTTTATTGTAAGTTGACAATAAAATAAAAATGTGATATCAGATAATAAAATCATCAACATAATGTTAAACATGCGTGAAAAAACATGTTAAATATATAAAGCATGTACAGACCGATCTATTTTACAAATTGTGATTAATTTTGTTCTCTTATAAAGATATAAAATTGATATTTTATTCATATTTTGCTATATCATTTATTCATAATAAGTTTTCTGTTGTGTTTTTAAATATAGATAAATAAAACTAAAGATCACATCAAATTTTTATAATAATGCAGAAAAAGAACTGTAAAAATGTATCTATTTTATAACTTTTCAATGTATATCTAATTTACAACTTTTTAAATAAATCTTCACGTTACAAGAATTTTTAATAGAAAATTTCTCTGTGTATTTAAGTTTTAAAACCTTCAAAAATTACATTCGATAAAGATTGATTTTTCAATTTTTAATGTAAGTTCTGTTCTTTAGCCACATACATTTAATGATAAATATTTCTTTCTTTCTATCACTATTATGCAAACTCTTATGAACACAATTCCATTAGCAATGCATTCTTTAATGCAGTACAAGGTATTTCTAATAATAAATATTTGAGGCCAATCAACGTTAACAATTTCGGAAGACCTTAAGACCTACCTTTAAATATACAAAAAAAAATGAAAAGAGAATAAATAATTATTATAATCCTCCCCAGGATGGTGTAGATTTTGGAAAACTATATGTAATTCTAAATCTCTATATCTATCAAAAATTTAAACAATGTAAAAGAAGAATGACTAATGGTGCATTCCATATGACGCTTGCAACTATCATGGAATCATTTCATTCTTGTTTATCTATGTTTATCAAATGTTAAATAAGAACGAATACTTGCGAGCATTGTGAGTACCAAATGGAACGCATTCTAAATTAAAATGAAGTATATTGTGCATTTAAAATTTTGTCAAACTGACTAATATTAGAAAAATAAAACTATTTATAATTTTATTTTACGACTCTTGCAAAAAGATAGTTAACGTTAATGGTACAATGAGCACTATGAGCTTCAAGCTGCTAAATTGGAAATAAGTTCTACCTCTCCAAAGATTAAAGAATTTATCACAACTATCCTACATGCGATTATTTTTGGGAATGTTGGGACTATTATTAGTTGCAGTGTAATTTATCTTTATACCATGTCAAATTAAATAAATAATAAATATTAATTTTATGATATGTATCACTTGTATAAAAGAATTGATATTAACAACTGTGGCGCCAAGTTAAATTCTACTATCAAAATAAAAAGTAAAACCCAAGTGATACTATCTTTATTATTATTTACTT